GCAGAGGAATGTTTGAAGCAAGCAAATGACTTGAGTGGTTTGTTGCTACTCTATTCTTCTTTAGGAGATGCTGAAGGAATAACCCAACTTGCCTCTCTTGCCAAAGAGCATGGGAAAAACAATGTTGCATTCCTCTGTTTATTTATGTCGGGCAAATTGGAGGACTGCCTTCAACTGTTGGTTGAGAGGTAATATTAGTGATCATCTTTGTCTTGCTGTTATACCTATTGATTACTGTGATTATATCATAAATCACAAGTTCTTCCAGCAATCGGATACCTGAAGCTGCATTGATGGCTCGCTCCTATCTTCCCAGTAAGGTGTCAGAAATTGTTGCTCTTTGGAGAAAGGACCTTAATAAGGTTGTCATTTATTGTATCATATTTGCACATGTTTTGAATGTTGGGAGTTGTGGGTTGTGTTAATGATCTTCTGCAGCTGTGTATTTTTCTTCTCTACGTTTTAAGAAAGTAGAAATTAAGGCCAATAGTATAATGGAAGTTGTGATGCAATTATCTGATTCACAACTTCCGAATTTCATTCTCTTTAAAGGTTGATCCTCACTGGTTATTTATTTCACTGTGAAAATAGTATATCTTGTTTCTAGTTTATTAATATGTCAGTTAGAACTAGGAAAACATGATGTTTTCAAGTTCGACCATATCAACATTCTGACATCTATGTTGTCGTTCCAAACTCTAATATTGCATTTGTTCTTGATCCAGTCCTGAGTCTTTGCAGATTTTGAGTACATTTCTTTTCTTGCTCTTCCCCCATTACCCTTCTTATTCTAAAGATTCTAAAAAAAGGTGAAAAACTGTTTATCCTTTTTTTAGGTGGTTGAGTCACAGATATTTGATGTTTGATTGTCTCTAACCTTCTTTTCTACTTTTGATGAGTGTAACTAGAATGCAAAAGTGTTATATCAAGTCATATGGAGTTTAACAATTTAGCTTGAATAGACATGCTGATCCTACTATGGTAAAAAATTGTTTTTGAAAAAAATAAATAATTGGAGTTATGTTAGAACAATTGTCTACAAAAGGCCGTTTATATAAATAAATCGTACATAACAGTAATAGAAGCCACTTCTATTATATAGATTTTGGGAGTTTCTGTTAAATTCTCAAAGTCTTCAGTTATGTGGGAAGATCTTGAGTCGAGAGGTTTATCACAACCAAACATGGCACCCTCACAACCCCCCGTGAACTAGAAATTTTTCCATGCTACATTCTCAATGTATTTTATGAAATTGTACATCTCAGTGTATTGTTTTGTCCTTGGTGTATCCTGGCATAAAAATTACATACATTCAAGCGGCAGATAAAGAACAGGGTTATATACATCTAATCCTGTTAAACCTTCAATTGCATTATGGTGTTGAAACATATATTTTCTTGGATTTTGTTTTGAGTATACTCAAAGACCTTCCTTTCCAGCCTTTTTTTTTGATTTACCTTGAAAAATGAATGCAAGAGATATCATTGTTTAAAAAAATGTTGTACTTTTCTTCATACAAGTGACTAGTATTATGAGCTGTTTGTGCTTTTCTAATAATTAAACAGTGAGGAACTTTTTCATTATTTGACCGGGTCCCACTGTTGAATACAACTTACAGATAAATCCAAAAGCTGCAGAGTCCCTGGCTGATCCGGAAGAGTATCCAAATTTGTTTGAGGATTGGCAAATTGCGGTTGCTGTTGAATCCAGAGTCTCTGGGATGAGGTGTCTTTGTATATCTTTTAGTTGATAAGCTACTTGTGAATAATATGAACAAATTTGTTGTCATTCCATTTCATTTCTCCTGCCTTAAATCTAACTCCATGCATCATAGTGGATCATGTTCATTCCATTTAATTTAGCTTTATTATCTTTCTTGACTTTTTTATTAAATGTTAGTTTATTTTATACTAGCTGTCCTTGCATCTTTTTCTTGGGGGCATGGTCATAAATTGGCATGCTCTGAGTAATCTTTGAAGTTTGGTTATGTTAGGACTTGATATTAAATTCTTCCAATTATTTTGCAGGGGTAATTATCCTCCGGCAGCTGAATATTTACAACATGCGGATAGATCAGTAGCAAGTCTTGTGGAGTCCTTCAGAAACATGCAAATGAATGAAGAACCATTGGAAAATGGAGGCTTGGATCATGAGGTATGTGTATGTTTTTGCCAGCTTTACTGATTTCTATTCAAAACAACCAAGAAGAATGCCCTGCATTTAATTTTGCTACGTTTGATCTCTGCTATTTTTTTAAGTTTTACTTCAGCAAAGCAGCAAGTTAATTTCAAACTGGCAAAGAATAGTGTTACCTTTTACATTTTCCAGATGGTTCCAGACTCTAATGTTCCATACTGTATTTTTTAGACTTTGTATAAGTTTTCTTGTTGGATCTTTAT